TTCTTCCTATTATTGCAGATAGAATAGAACATAAATTATTTGTTGTAAAGTGTCTTTTCAATGTTGATAAAATATTGCATATATATAGTTTCTTGATGCTGTTATGATTAATTTTTTGGTGAGGCCAGTGGAAATGGAAGGCAATGACCCCTATTGTTGCCCAAAATAATAAGGCCCCGATACCAATAGTGAATGTCTCGATTAGCAGATATTTTTGCATCACTGTCCGTGCATTAATTGTAGAGGAAATCCCTGGGGAAGAGCCAGGGTTAATTGCCCAAATCACGTGTATAATGGCTAGAAGGCAGAACTGACTTCTTAATAATACTTCAGTTTCATGGGTCACCCCTTCTCACAAATAATCCTGCAACCTTTATAGCAGAAACATTAATCCTGAACAATTACTGTGTGCGTCCACACACTTTCCAAATCATCGTCTTTAAGAGCTGGACAGCACGCACAAGCAAAGGCTTGTGAGATTGACAGTGCAGCAGAGCAAGCAGTGATGGGGGGGGGTCAGGATGGCAGCCATTCTCTGAGGTGAAGACAATCCAAGGTTGTGATGTCTGGCACAAATTGCAAGCTCGAAGGAAAGGTTTAATCAAACAATTAAAATGTCATTATTTACGCACCCTCATGTCATTCTAAACCATTCATGCTGTTGAATGCAACAATTCAGAAACCATGGTTGTCAAGCTACTAAAAGTACACTTTTAGAATAAAAGGTAGCCTACAAAAGCTATCACTGGGGTGGCACTTCTTCAAAATGCACACCTTTTTACCCTATTTACCCCTAAACGGTGCATATTAGTCCGTAAATGGTACATAGTAGTACTTTTTGAAAGGATACCACTCCAGAAACAACTTTACAGAAGAACACCTGAAAATGCAGAATGAGATTTGAAAGCTGCAGCAGAGAGGAAGATTTTCAGTGAATCCCTGCATAAATTTCACACAGCAAATGCATTTTGCTCGACTTCAGCGTGAGTAAATGATGACAGAGCTCTCATTTCTGTGTACAGAGTTCTGGCATTCGGCACGTTGCGTTACTGGTCGGGTGGTAAGATCGCAAACTTCCCGCTGTGCAATCAGATGACGAGAGAAAGTTCTGCGTTCCCCGCAGAACTCTCTGATCGCTGCACTGAGCTACATATATACGGTTGCTATTGGAAACAGAGGCTTGGCAGAGCTCTGGCGGGTATAAAGTGATCTCGGCCGCTCCCAGCTCATGTCCAGTTTAAAGCACATAAATCCAGGGCGAGACCTTCACTATCAAACATCAGAACTAAAATCAATACTGCTTTTATTTCTATCCACCTTATTTTTAACATGAGAGAGGGCGTGGCCATTTGTTACTTGAATGGGTGGGGCTTCTGGTGTCATTGGCTTCCATGTGCAAAAACAGCTGGATATTGCAAACTGATATATAATTTTCATTTATTATAATAAATAGGTTTTTGGTTGACTGCATTTTGATATTTCTTCAAGTTATTTACTTATAGGAATCTAATGAATCAAAGTCTCGCACATT